TACCATGCCAGGCAGGTCGATTGGAGAACGATCAGAATAAAAGCAGCTACTCAAGGTCTGAGGGCGAAGTCGTACTGCTGACTGCAGAGGAGTGTGACAGCAATAAGGTGTTTCCCTAGGACAACCAGCATCTGCAGCGATGCTGTCTTCTCACAAGGAAAGAAGGGTTAGAAAAGGTCGACCCTAAAAATGTCACATCTCACCCTACCTCGCAGATTTCCGTCTCCTTGGGTAAGGGTGCCCAATAAGGGCCTTTAGGAACGGAGCTAATCCTCAAAATACCTTTAATAAAAAGGCCGTGCGTGACCGGCCTCAAGCAGTTGTCCCTTGGACTTTGCGGTCACGCACTCAGGTCGTTAAAACCGACACTAATCTATCTTCGTTTTCAGGTCCCTCAAGAAACAACCTTCCACGGTGTGGGCAGCCGGGAAGTGATAACCGCTCTCATACCCATAACAGCACACGAGACCAAATTGGTCAAAATCAAATCCTTCCTACACCTCCTAATGTCTCTCTTATCGCTACGACTAACTCTACTTTAATGTGCGGACATTGTGTCAAATAGGGCAACAGGCATCATTAGCTAGGACTTTAGAATCTCGTGCCATCGATGTATGCTGCGTCTCGGAAACGCGCATACAGGATCCTAGTAAAGTCATTAACCTGATTCCACCTTGTCAAAATAAAGAAGCAGCACGATGTACTCTTCGTGTTTCCGGTAACCCTGATGCTGCTTCTAGGGTCTTGCTGGCGTAGGCATAGCATTGAGTCCTAGGGCGGAATTATCTCTCCTTGACTGGATCCCAGTAGATAGACGTTTGTGCGCTGTCCGACTGAACGGGACAGTAAGGACTCGCCGTTGCCTCTTCGTCGTATCTGCCTACGCTACCACAAACCGCAGTTGTGAAAGATGAGTTTTAAAGAAAGCTTTCGGATTTCCTCCAAAAAGCTAAGCGCTCTGATATAGTAATAATGGCTGGTGACTTTAATGCTCAGGTAGGTAGACTAAGTGAAAATGAAAGACATCTTGGTGGATGTTATGGTCTCGCGGCTCAGAGAACAGACAATGGCGACCGTCTGTTGCAACTATGCTCAGATAACCGCCTATTTCTAGCAAACACTAACTTTAGGCATAAGGAAAAGCATCTCTTGACCTGGCGACCCCCAAAGTCGTCTCAACGTTGGACCCAACTAGATCACATTGTCATCAGCCACCGATGGAGAGGTCCGATAGAGGACTGTCGCTCGTTCTGGGGCACATGTTTAGATTCAGATCATGCCCTAGTGCGAGCGCGTATCTGTTAGAGGCTTACTGGACGTAGGAAATATACCGTCAGGGAGCCTCTTAGGGTTTTACTTAATGATAGGAAGGCTAAGAATATATTTCAGGAGCAACTAGAAACAGAGTTAAGCAACCATGTAAGCGATTCCCATCCAGAAGCAGGTTGGTATGATATCAAAAAGGCTGTGGAAACAGCAGTGATATCTGCTAGTAAGGTAAACCATAAGGCTAGGATGAAGCCGTGGATCTCAATAGCATCTACCGAACTGATGGATGCTCGAAAACGCATCCCATCTGACTCTGAACATGATGAAGAGCGAAGTCAGCTTGGGCGCAGACTGATCAAAAGCCTATGTAACGACCGCGAACAGTGGTAGGTGGAGAAAGCGAGAGAGATGGGAAAGGTAGCGGCGATAGGCGACAGTAGGCAACTATTTAGACTCATCAAGGAAACTGGTATTAGGAATCCTAGTGTAAGTGATACTATCTCAGAAAATGACGGGACTCTCATTCATTCTCAATCCAGGATATTGGATCGATGGGCAGAACACTTCAGGGATCAGTCCAACTGGCCTCGAGCCACTCTCCGGTTACCCACGATCTCCAGTCATCCTGAATGGCGAATCGACTAAGTCCCCCTAGTATTAATAAAGTTGAGAAAGCGTTAGGAAATCTGAAGCGAGGACGAGCTGCGGGTCCTGATAGACTGACCCCTGAGATTTTTAAGGATGGTGGTCCAGTTTTAGCAGCTAGGTTTACTGAGATCTTAGGTAGAATCTGGGAACTGGACGCAATTCCATCCGACTTGTCTCAATCACTGATTGTCCCAATCTATAAGAAAGGAGAAAAGTCTTCTTGTGACAATCACAGGGGAATAAGTCTAACTAATATAGTATCTAAAATATTGGCCACAGTAATACTTCGGCGCTTAACGAAAACCCGTGAAGAGCAAACTAGAGAAAACCAGTCTGGTTTAAGACCTGGACGTGGTTGTATAGACCACGTCTTCACACTCAGACAGGTCCTGGAACATAGACACACATTTAGGCGTCCTACAATAGTTGTTTTCCTAGACCTTAAGGCGGCATTTAACTCTGTTCATCGTAAGGTTCTGTGGCAGTGTCTGTCATTGAAAGGTGTACCAAAGAAGAACATTAACCTTATACAAGCCCTTTACTCGAACACCACTGGTCGAGTGAGGGCTTATGGCGAACTGTCACCGGAATTCTCTACATCAAGTGGTGTCCGTCAGGGATGTCCACTTTCTCCATTCTTGTTTAATTTTATCATAGACATGCTCCTGAAAATGACCTTATCCTCTTCTGAATTTTCAGGAGTAGACCGTTTACCACGTGGCTTGCTTATCGACTTAGAATATGCCGATGATATAGTCCTACTTGGTGAAGACGCTGACAAAATGCAGAGTCTTCTGACCACCCTAAGCAACAATGCAAGCATGTTCGGGATGCGGATTTCCCCCTCGAAATGCAAACTTTTGTTTCAAGATTGGGTTGCATCGGTACCTGAACTAGTGATAGGGAGTGAAGTAGTCGAGCGAGTAGACCGCTTCACTTATCTTGGGAGTCTCACCAGTGCTGATGGCCTGGTGACTGACGAAATCTCAGTTCGGATACAGAAGGCTCGATTGGCTTTTGCCAACCTGCGTCAACTATGGTGTAGGCGTGATATCCGTTCGCTAACTAGGGGACGAGTGTACTGTGCAGTAGTTCGCTCCGTTCTCCTATATGGATACGAAACTCGGCCGTTAAGAGAAGATGTTCGTAGGTTAC